GCAGACCTACCTTCACAGTGTTCTAAGAACTGTATGCATTCCTGAATAACACTGTCTCTTAACATAATCATATGCTTGGCCATATTTTCAAGTAACGATAAGAAACATCGCTTAGCATAGAACCATGTATCAGTACCCAACTGTAAATACAATGAAAATATACTAAAGTTATGTAATATGTCCTGGTAAAAAGTTCATTCTCCGCATTACAGATGATCCCACTATGTAGCAATATAAGGAGCTGTCATTCTTATACATTTGAATGATATTATTATACATGTTCATCTACATTGCCAAATGACAGCCTTAGGAACAAATCATTGGCATAATTGCTGTCAACGATACAACGTGGACTGCAGACAGTTTGTGCTACATCCTTAAGTAGTCAAAAATCAATATTCTAGACTGCTTGGTAAGTAATTAAGACTGAGTGCTCCAGCTCAGGGACTGAATCACCACCTGTTGTGCTAGCAGAATCTCTTAAATGATGTTCACCTTTTTATTGTATGGTTCCAAACTCTTGATGACTCGTGAGATTCCAAATTCATAGTTTCCCTTTGCACAGTACAGTGTACCAATGACTAAATTAACTATACACAGATGGAAGACTTTTTTATCTGGGTCGTCGTAGGCAACCTGCTCTTCTTCTTTTTCAATCTTCCTCATCAATTCTTCAGCCTAGATGATATGATGAACAGATTAAGAATAATGTGTGCAGTTAATTGTATTGTATCTTTACTAATTCTAAGGTAATCATAATCCCAGTTGAATAAAGACTGTCAAATTTGAAATGGCAACATATACATGGAGGGTGGGGGACTGCTAACTAAAAGCATGTGATATTTTGCTGGGTGATAGATTTCATTAAAATGATAAATAACCAGTTTCCCCCACAGTGTTAAAAGCCATACTCTGGTGACTATTGGTAAATAAACAAATTTCAAAATACAACAAAATCAGTTCTGATACTATAGTGTTCTCTGGCCTTTGAGACAGGCAGTCATAGGAAAAAATTCTGTATCAGTCTTTAATTTCGCATCATTTCTGAAATAGCACGAGACAAAACAGCTGATTTATAGATGTTTAACTCACCTCTTCATTTTGACTTGTCATGATGTAAGAGACACACAGGTTGGCTAAGACTATTGCACTCACACTGAGAATCTGAAAATAAAGAATAAATTATGCATGATATGATGGTTGTATTGAAAAACATCTATCTATCGTGGCTAATACAATATGTGGTGAATTATGGTCGCCGTGATCACAACAGAATTTCTACAATCACAACAATTATAGCATTTATTAGCAGTATAAGTATCTGACATCGATTTGCAGCTTAAATATACAAGTATGAGATAGTACTCCAAGATCATTAAGACTGTTATGTGAGTCATTTAACTGCAAGGAGATGTTTAAGGATTCACCCAAAATTGCCCATAATCAGAATGTCAAATATTACACATAAAAGTCCAAATTAGGCCTAAGAGTAAAATAGTGAAATCTGGGAAGTATTGGGGTTAAAGGCAACTCTGACCATTTGTCTTTTGTGATTACCGCAAAAATAATAATTCATTAAAGTAGATGCCACACAAGTGGGTTGAGTGAAGGTGTAGCCAGAAAAAATTCTTATCAATGCACACACTTACATTATCATAGTGTTTCTTGACAATAGGTTCGTAAAAACCAGTAGCTTCCTTGAATTTGGTCTCTTGCATGAACAGTACGTGTGCCACGTTCAACTTCCAGCTGTCATGCTCGTTGCAAAATTCAACCGACTTTCGGAAAATCTTTTCTACCTGTGCATAGTTTTCCATGTCCCAGTATATCTTGGCTTGTGACATTAACACGGGTATGTACCTAAAAAGAAGCGAGTTTATTAATAACGAATGACTTTTTTTATATGGTATTAGATGAATTGAAAATATCCACTCTGTACTAAACGATCTATACATTACACAGTGGTGGCCATGTGTACTCAAATGAGTTTTTATTTGTGAAAATAATGCATTCAATCCACATGCATATATGCACACGTGTACATTTTAGTATGGGACCCACATTGAGCGCATATAGTCATGACAATCATCACCTTTTAAATACTGTAATACATGTCTTTTTCGCGAGCATGTCTTTTTCACGAATTTAGTGAGAGGACTGATTCGCTAATTCAATAATATGACTTTATTATACATTCAAAATGGCCGCCAAACAAAGAAATCAACGACAAGAGAGATTTGCTAAATCAACATTTCGCTATTACGTAATTTTTCCACAATTCGCTAAAATTGCATGCCGCTTTTTCAACATGTTTTACAGTATATTACTGCTTTAATTTAAACTTTTTAATGAATACCGGTACATATAGCAAGATTCTTACCTTTCCAGAGCTTCATCGTAGTCATTAACAGCTTTCTTGACAGCTTCGTCATCATGATTTTGTCTCGCTTCCTGCACCTGTTTCGTCATCTTTCTCAGCTGCTCTGTATGTTTGGACGCCATATCATCAAGTTTTCGGTAAGCTTCTTCCGGTGCCGTTTGTTGCGTCAGGATAGCATCGATGAAATCGAACAGATATTGTGACATGTATTTGAAGGTCAGATGAGTGTTCTCTGCTAGCACATCAGCAGCCAAGTCAAAATACTACATTGGAGGTAAAAAATAACATACAAATGTTTGTTATACCACATCATGTAGGTACCAAGGTATGTACAATACTAACATTTATCATAATGTCATCAGGGAAAATCACAAGGTCTTGATTTCCATGGAACTAATTCTCTTTGGTTTATCTGGACTTTTCATTTTTTGGTGAAATCTTTCACTAAAATATATCAAGGGCTTAATATTGATCTT